ATGCACTGCCCATATTTTCCGCCATTTCATTCACCTCTACTCGTTGTTCGTATTCTGCCGACACTTTGTCCGTTGTCTTTGCAACTTTTATCTCCTCCCGCTCATCTTCGTTGTCGTCTTCGTCGTCGTCATCATCATCATCATCTTCTTCTTCTTCTTCCTCCACCTCGAGGATCGGCTCATGGTCGCGTATGCTGCCACGGTGACCGAGAATGCCAGCCACCTCAAGTTCACCGCCACAGGCGCCTCGAAGGATGCCGTTAGCGTCCATCACCTCTTCAAAGTCGTCGCCGAGAAGGGCAGACCGATTCTCGAATATGAGCTCCACCTCCATTGGACCGGCCAGAAAGTCGTCGTCAGGCGTGTGCTGAAGGCTGGAGGAGCCCAGTTGCCGGGCCATCACGATGCCTTGAGAGACGGTTGGGAAGACGGTCGAGACAGGCTGGCCGGGATGACGACGAACGAAAGCTGCGAGTGAAAATGCCTCTTTCACCTCGTCCGTTTCCTGTTCGTCCTCTTCGTTCTCGCTATCCTTGTCGGCACCGAAACCAATGGAGGCCGGCTCGCTCTTGATCGAGGTACGACGAAGTACAGGGGCAAATCGCGTCGCACCCACCTCTCGATCGACCTGTAGACCGGTGGGCTCGTCATCCGTCCTCCGGGTTGCCAAAGCGCTGATCGCCGTCACAGTTGCCGTGGACGCTGTCTCAGACTCGAAGGCAGAAGCGACGACGCCAGTCAGGCTCTCGTCAAAGTGGCGTGAGTTCGAGACTACGAGTCGCCAGGGCGACGAGACTGGAGACAGAGAGCGTGCGTCACGGCGGTCCTGGCCACCTGGGCACTCCCACACCTCAGGTACGACTGGAGAGCCGGGATCTTCCGAGAAGGCCCTCTGACCAGTCAGCCACGGAAGTACAGAGACCGGCTTTCTCACGAGACCCTTCGACTCGGCGGGACTCGAGGTCGTCTCAGTCTTGTCAGAACGAGGCGAAGCTATCGGTGGATCCGCGACATCGTCTCTCCGATCCGGTGAACTGGCGAGGTGAAGGCGAAAAGAAAAGAAGGAAACTTTCATAATATTTGCTAACAGCTCGGAAAAGAAGTCTTTTGTTCGAATTTCCCACCAGCTTGACACTTCCAACCAACTAAACAGTTCCGTGTGACAAATGGTCTAGCTATCACGTCTTAGATACAAAGAGTAACTAGATTTCAA